AAGGGGGTAGATCAGGTGCTCCTGGTCAGGGTGGCATTTGAGACCCCTGGGAACATGGCCTAAAAGAGAGAGAGATTAAAAACAACTATAACAAAAAATATATATAATCAGCCAGGCGTTGGTGGCGCACGCCTTTAATCCCAGCACTCGGGAGGCGAGGCAGGCGGATCTCTGATGGTATAATAGGTAATTTTATTGCACAGACAAGGAAACTGGTGTAGCACATCTCTCCTCAGACTTTGATGTGCATAAAAGTCCTCCTGGGGTCAGTTAAAATGATTCCAGTTTAAGGTTTGGAGTGAGCTAGGATTCTTTCTTTCCAGCCAGCTTCCAAGGGATGCTGATGTTGTCTGCAAACCTCACTTTGGACAGCAAAGCCCTAAGGTGGGTTCTCTGATCCTGAGGAGAACGGGTGTACAGGGCACAGGCAGCTGGTTAGGGGGATGGTCATCAGACACAGGCAGACTGTGAGTACTTACAGCAAACATTTGAAGACAAAAGTTGTGCTTATTTCACCTAGTATAATGTCCTCCAGGCTCATTCAACATTTATGCAAATGGCACAGTGTCCTTGTAAAAGGCTGACTAGAATTACAGTATGTCTTTGTGCATCTCATATTTTCTTTATCCATCCTCTGTTGATGGATGTTTGGGTCATTCCTATATCTTGGCTACTGTACATAATGCTGCAAAGAACATGGTGGTTTAGATACTACTTCAAAAATGCAGATTTCATTTCCTTTGGGATATTTACCCTATGCTGGATAGTTGTATGTCAACTTGACACAAGCTATCAGCACCTGAGAGGAGGAAATCTCAACTGGGGGTGGTGCCATTCCTGGGCTGGTGGTCCTGGGTTCTATAAGAAAGCAGGTTGAACAAGCCATGAGGAGCAAGTCAGTTAACAGGACCCCTCCATGGTCTTTGCACCAGCTCCTGCCTCCAGGTTCCTGCCTTGTTTGAGTTCCTGTCCTGACTTCCTTTGATGATGAACAGTGATGTAGAAGTGTAAGCCAAGAAAACCCTTTCCTCTCCAAGTTGCTTTTTGATCATGGTGTTTCATCACAGCAATGATAACCTTAACAAAACATACCAGGAAATGGTATTTCCAGACCATATGGTAGCACTGGTTTGTTTGTTTGTTTGTTTGTTTTAAGACGGGCACTTATACGTGGCTTAGAACTTGATATGTAGATCAGGCTGACCTTAGATTCCCTGACAGTCACTTGCCTCTGCCTCCCCAGGGCTGGGAATAAAGGTTTGTGCTAGCATGCCTGCCCCCTCCTTTATGAAGTTTTTATGAAAGTAAAGTTAGTCTTTCATCTATTTCTACTAAAACTATATAATTTTGTTCATAATTTTGGGCTCTTTATAAACACTCATATGGTTACCCATATGGTAAAGGTAAAAGAAGATTGCTATTTCACACTACACATGAATAACACCTTCCAGGTAGATCGAAGATCTAAATGTGAAAAACAGAACCTGATGTTTACACAGATCTGGAAATGACTTTTTAACCAGGTACAAAAACCAGCAAAGATTGATTAGTTGTCCAGTTGTGTTTAATTTGGAATTTCTAGCTACAAAAGCCAAATGAAAAGTCCAAACCAGAATGGATTTGTAATATACAGAGATTATAAGGGGCTTTCAATTAATATACAAAGAAATTCTACAAAGCAATAAGAAAAATGTACATTTCCCAACAACAACAAAAATGAGTAAAAATATGAATTGGACAAAGGACCTTGAAAATTAGTAAGCATTGGTCAGGGTTAGGTTGGGTTTAGGGTTGAGGCTGGTGTTAGTGCTATAGTTGGAGTTGGAGTTAATGTGAGTAGGGGTTGCTTTGGGGATTGGATTGTTTTGGGGATTAGGGATAGTGTTGGGGTTGGTGTTGAGGTCTGGTGTGTGGTGGTTTGAATTAGAATGATCTCCATAAACTCAAATATTTGAATGTTTATTTTCCATTGGTGGAACTGTTTAGGAAGGACTAGGAGGTGTGACCTTGTTGGAGGGGTGTAACCTTGTTGGAGGGGTGTAACCTTGTTGGAGGGATGTGGCCTTGTTGGAGAGGCTGAGCTTCAAGGTTTCAAAATCCCACACCAGGCACAGTCTCTTTCTCTTTCTGTCTCTTGTTTGTCAATAAGATGTCAAACCTCAGGGACTGTGCCAGTACCATGCCAGCCTGCCTCCTGCCATTTCTCCTCCCATAATAGTCATGGATTCACCTTCTGAAACTGTATGCAAGCCCCCAATTAAATCCTTTCTTATACAAGTTGCCTTGGTCATAATGTCTCTTCATAGCAATAGAACAGTAACAAAGCTAGAAGTTAGTACCAGGCAATGTCATATTGCTGTGGCAGGCCTGTTCATGCTGCTTGTTAGTGGAATGTGGACTTTGGGACTTTGTATTAGGGCAGAGGATGAATGCTGTAAGCATGGCTTAATGGGCCATCCTCAAAGGAGCTTGGAAGACAGTAGTGCTGAGTGCAATGTGGACTATGGAAGCAAGAGGTAACAGAGGTAAGAAATATTAGCAAATAAGCTAGAGATCACTTTTATGACATTTTGGCAAAAATGATGCTCTTTTTTGCCCTTGTCCTAAAAATCTTCCAGAGGCTCTGGACGAATGTCTAGGAGATTTCAAGACAACTATGTCATATGGTTATTGGTGATCACTCTTATACAGATCTATAATGAAAAAGAGGAAGTGGGGCAAAAAGAAATTAAAAAATGTACATGTGAGGAGAAAAAAAAAAAAAACACCAGGAAAAGTAGTGTTGGAGTCAAATCTTGTGCTCAAGGAGATAAGTTTAAAAACAGACCTGATGCTAAGTGGGATGAAGGGAGTGGTACCTTAAGGCTCATACCTTACCCAGATAATCTGCAACTCGCAAAAAGGAAAGCTTGAGTAACAAAGGAAAGCATCAACAAGTCAAAACATCCGAAAATGTAATGCAGGGAGGGACCACTTTCTATCCCTAACAGGCTGTAATGCTAAGCAGCTTCAGCCACCTGTTTCTGGCTTTATCAGTATGAACTGATAAAGGGGCTGTGAAATCTTCCTCTGTGGCTAAGCAAAACCCCTGAGGCCAGGTGTGTGGCAGGGGAGTACTTGCATGGTGGCTCAGAAAAGCCACTTTTTAAAGCCATGAAAGTGACACCTGGATTGCATTGGAGACCCCAAGATGTTAAGAGATGCCAGAGCCATGGTATGCCTGCTAAGGATAAATGCAATCAGGAAACAGTCCGAGAGAGAGAGAGAGAGAGAGAGAGAGAGAGAGAGAGAGAGAGATGCAGTTATCTGAGCTGGAAGGAGTTGGAGATCCTAAAAGTCCTTGGACAGCAGACATAGAATTACAGAATTTGGAGTTAGTCTTCCTAGGTTTCAATCTTGCTTTCATATTTCCTTGCCATGCTCCCTTTACTCCCCTTTGGAACAGTAATGTATAGTCTGTGTCATTGAATGCTGGCCTATGTAATTTGCTACAGAGGGTCACAGTTAAGACATTGCCTTGAGGACCAGAACAGACTTTAAACAGTGTTGAGACTGTGAAAGACTGTGGAGACTTTTGGAGTTACACAAAATGCATTTGCACTATGATATGGCTACCAAGTCTATTGGGGCCAAAGAGTGGAATGCAGTGGTTTGAATGAGAATGGCCCTATAGGCTCATGTTTGGATGCTTGGTCCCTAGTTTGTGTAACAGTTTTTGTAACATTTAGGAGACTGGCCTTGTTGAAGATGTATCACTTGAGGGATAGGCTTTGAGGTTCACAAGCACATGCCAGGAACACTGTCTCGTCTCTCTCTCTCTCTCTCTCTCTCTCTCTCTCTGCCTACTGCTTGTGGATAAGCTCTTAGCTGTTGCTTCTGCACTATGCCTGCCTGTCTCCTGCCATTCTCTCCACCACAATGGTCATGGACTCACCCTCTGAAACTATGCACAAGCCCCCAGTTAAATGCTTACTTTTGTAAGTTGCCTTGTTCACAGTATCTCTTAACAGCAACTGAACAGTAACTAAGACAGGTGCATATGTCTTCAGTTACATAGTGTCTAAGTTGAGGCTTCTATGACTGTGTAGAGACACCATGACCACCGCAAACATATAAAGGAAAACATTTAATGAGGGCTGCTTAGAGTTCAGAGGTTTAGTCCATTGTCACCACGGTGGGAAGCATTGCAATAGAACAGTAGTGCTAGAGAGGTAGCTGAGCGTTCTAAATACGGATCTGACATCAGTAGGAAGAGACTAAGACATACTGGGCCTAGATTGAGCATCTGAGACCTCAAAGCCCACCCCAGTGACACACTCCCTCCAACAAGGCCACTCCAATAATGCCACACCTCCTAATAGGGCCACTCCCTGTGGGCCTATGGGAGCCATTTTCTTTCAAACTACACATAGTTAAGATTCTTGCAGCCAGACATTGGTGGCACATGCCTTGGGAGCACTTGGGAGGCAGAGGCAGGCAAAAGTTCGAGGCCAGCCTGGTCTGCAGAGCGAGTTCCAGGACAGGCTCCAAAGTGAAGGAACCAGCTTCCCTTTTGGCAGCCATAACAGCCGAACACGTGCTTGCCATAAACCTGCCTTGGTCACTTAGAGGTCAGATGCCTGTCTCGTGACAAGGAACCTTAGTCACTTAGAGGTCAGATGCCTGTCTTGTGACAAGGAGCCAATCAGAGGTTAGCTGGTGGCGCTATGCTTTATGACCCTGGGTGTGCTTTACGGACAAGCGCACAGCAATGATGTAGAGAGCATAGCAACCACCCTGGGAGGGCCTATGGGCCATAACAACCAGTTGACCAATCAACACAGGGCAAGCCCTCCAAGCCTGGAGGCACACCAATCGTGAGCCTGTGCGTACCCCTAGACTGCCCTATAAAGATCCCCTTACGCTGCCCTATAAAGATCTATGCGCAGCAGCTTCAAGCCGTCTTTTCTAGCTGTCCGCCATGGCGGGTGGGTGAAAGACCCGAGCTAACATGGGGTTAGCTCGTTAAATTACAATAAAGCCTCGTGCAGTTTGCATCAAGCTTTCGCCTGCATTCTGTGTTTGGGGTGGCCGCCGTCCTGGACTAAGATTCCGGAAGCCTCAGCTTTCTGAGGGTCTTACAAAAGCAATACAGAGAAACCCTGTCTTGAAAAAACCAAATTGATGGGACCAGCTCCCCTTTCGGCAGCCATAACAGCTGAACACGTGCTTGCCATAAACTTGCCCTTGTCACTTAGAGGTCAGATGCCTGCCTTGTGACAAGGAACCAATCGGAAGTTAGTCACTGCCTCGTGACAAGGAACCAATCAGAAGTTAGTTGGTGGCGCTATGCTTTACGACCCTGGGTGTGCTTTACAGACAAGCACACAGCAACAATGACGTAGAGAACATAGCAACCACCCTGGGAGGGCCTATGGGCCATAACAACCAGTTGACCAATCAACATAGGGCAAGCCCTCCAAGGCTGGAGGCACACAAATAGTGAGCCTCTGCGTACCCCTAGACACTCCCTTTACGCTGCCCTACAAGATCTCTTGGGAGGCCCTAGGAGTTGTCTTTTGTGAGCCATCCACCATGGCAGGTGGGTGAAAGACCCGAGCTAACATGGGGTTAGCTCGTTAAATTACAATAAAGCCTCATGCAGTTTGCAGCAAGCTCTCGAATCTGCCTGGTGATTGGGGTGACCGTGAACGTAGCCTGGGACCCTGGATACCTGAGTTTTCTGGGGGGTCTAACAAAATAAATAAATAAATAAAATTGTAAAAAATTCTTGGTTGCAAACAAAGAGAGTCAACTCTGGCTAAATAGAGAAGAAAAATAATTTCAGGAAACACAATCAATATATGTGAAAAGTGGGCAGTAGTAATGAGAAAGCAAGGCCATACCATAGAAACTAAACTATCATGATCACAATACTGGGCAGTCAAGGCAAGATTTTAGGCCCACAGTGCATGGCTCCTTCAAGAGGGGAAATTTATGTGTGTGTGTGTGTGTGTGTGTGTGTGTGTGTGT